CTTTATTAGCACTTGCGCTTGATACTGCTGGAAAGTCTTCACGTTCTCCCGACTGAGGACTGAATTGTAATAGCATGCCTTTTCAATGGCTTGCTGCTGCTCTGGAGATGCATCACCCGTGCAACTATCCTGAACAAAACGAGAGTAACGACAGGCGACAGGAAAATTTAAATTCAGAAAAAACGAGATTAGTATTCCCGAGTTCAAATCGAGTCGACTCTTCGGAGTCGGAAAAACTGTAGCAAAAGTGAAATAAAAATTCATCTACAGGGGCTATTTCTTGTGGAAGTAAACAGAAGAATGTATGAAATCATTTATAAGAAAAGGCTTAAAATTTAAATTTTTTTTTTAAATTTTTCCCTTTTTCGAAATAGTAAAAAAAGTAGTACAGATTCGTTCATACTTGTCTTCCAAAACAACGCAAAGTTTACAACGTCTGGGAAATAAAAAACAATTTCGAAATCAGTGAGAAGACAAGAAAGATCAAATTACAGGGCTAAATTTTAACGCTATAATTAAATAAGGAAAAAAAAAAGAAAAGGCGGAAAGGAAGCTTAAAGAAAAAAAAAAAGCTGGACTGGTCATGTGGCAAGAATGAGAAAAAAGAAAAAGTTACTGAATGCTGCCAGCGCATTGTTGAAAAATCGTGAGGACGCAGCCCTAAGAAATGGAAAGTGCCAATAAACGATGGAAAATGGAAATGATACCATTGTTTTCTGCGAAATACCAAGTAATGGAAATGAGATGAGATGGAAGATACCAAGTAACACAAAATATCAAAATTTCTGCGAAATAGTCATACCTCGGTATTAGAAGTATGCAGTTTTATAGCGCAGTCAATGGCTCCATCAATGACAGCTGAATGGGCAGTGACTGGCTTCTTCTCCTTCATCCTCCGATTCAACTGCATCCTGGCCAGTGACCAGTGCCCCAGAAAACATAACCAGCATGTGAGCAATAGCCGAGAGTGCGTATCGTTCTCAAGCAGACGTACAACGTGCGCCAAACACATAACTGCTTTCGTGTACTAAAATCACTCGCTTATAAAAAAAGCATGGCAAAATCGATGTCTGGGCTCTTGGTGACATAAGTAAGGGCGTTATAAGTAAGGAAACTGGCTACTTTATTTTTCCCCTGTTGTACTAGAGATTTTTCGATGACTTTTTAGCTTTTTTGTTCTACAAATAAGATCCATCGATGGGCCGATTTCATTGCGCTCCAGTGAAATCGGCCCATCATTGAATTCTTGAACAAAACTACTAAAATCCCCCCAAATTAACGAGTGAATTCGATGTTGGTAAACTGCGAAGCAATCTCACGTTGGACGTCTGGGCTCTTCCTTTCTCGTCGGTAGGTCTGAACTTCAGCCTTTCGCTACTCTTTTATTTGTTGCTGATTTTATCAATTCAGCAATCAATAAAAGGGCGAATATAAGAATAAGGACATAATTCAAAAAATTATTTCCAGCGTCTCTGAAGTACTAAATATCGAAATGTTAGACAGGCAATTTTGAACGAAAGTTGGGCAGATCGCCAAAAGAGATGCAAAGACACCTATGTGGAGTTGCGCTGATGCGGAAAACACAGAATAGGGAAGAGCGGAAAAGCTGACAGTTGGCATTAATGACGAGAAGCAGTGATGAAAGAACAGCTGGTTAAAGTGCCAGAAAAGATATTTTTCTATTTTATTTCACTGTTTACTCGATGATTATTTATTATAAATAAAAGAAGTAAAACGTCAACTCTACTCGAAATGATTAGCCCTCTTACTTCAATTTCGAAAAATTTGAAAAATTATCAAATAAAAATACTTTTGGATTTTAAATTCCAGTGTCCCCCAGTGCTATTCTAATAGGCTAAGGAGTTAAGTGCAAGAACTGACTGTAATATGAATCAGCTGAATTCTCAACTGATTATTTCTGGAGAAAAAAAAAAACCTCGTCAGAATCAAACAAACACGCCGCGAGCAGCTTGGCCACAGCGCCGTACCGCTGCCGTTGTGGGCCATCAGGAAGAGCCAGTGCTGTAGGAGCCACCTGCTTTTCCCATATGGCAAAAGCCTCCTGCAAACAGATAGTAGAAAATCACTGAATTTTTTATCATATTATAAATTCTAGCCTAAAGTTCAAATTGTTTCTTTTTTTTCTGGTTCTTGGAAGAATTTTTGGTTTTTAGGCCGTCTCTAAAATACGTTTTTCAGTTTTTGTCAGTTAATCTTACAAATCTTTGGTTTCAATTAATCTTAAGTTTTCTAAAGAACGAGAGGTGCTAGACGGGTACTGGAAAGGCAGCCAAGTAAATATGGAAGGATCCCACTTGAACTTCTATA